TGGACATTGCTTAGGAAAGTTTGGAGGTTAAAACAAACTCTATTAACCACTCATCAAGAAAGACGTCCTGTCTTCAAAGCAATGGCTACTAACAGATAACATAGAACTAACTGCTTTAAAAGCAGTGATTTTTTTTTAATGGATAATCTAGTGGCTGTAATCAGTGCACAGAGTGAACTCCCTCTCGTAAAAAGCCCCATCAATTGTTTTTTGCTAATTAAGATGAATATTATTCTTGTTAAATGAACCAAAAAGTTTGTTTGAAACCGGAAATCCCAACAGAGATCTATATTCAGCAAAAATAATTGCATGCAATTTTATTTGAAGGAAAAGGAAAGGACTGTTTTTATCTTTGCTTTTTTCCAAATCTTAAAAGTAATCAATCTGTTGGCTAATTAATAATGATTTAATACTACTATCATCTGACCTAAAAATTGACTTTGGATATATTGGAAAAAGTGGTGGAATTTTAAAAGATAAATGGCAAAATGACTATTGACTACAATTAACTCCAATATAGAATTTTTGTCTTTAATGAAATTAGAACATTTTTATTAATGTTCTCAGAAGTAAAATATATTATACTAGTGGCCTGGTGCATGGATTCGTGCACACTGAAAGGAAATTAATTAGAAGAAATATTTTAATATCTCTATTCGCCCTTTCTCTATAATAGAAGTGTCAACCAAATTCACGATCAACAATGACAGATCAAAACATGCACATGCGTGAGTCAATTTAGCCTTTTATATATATAGAATAAACTTGCTTAATTAGACCAGCCTTCTGATTTAGCTAAATTTTTTCCAGCCCAGTGAAGCACCCCAACTTCTCTTTCAGGTAATTGTCAGCAGCACAGCAGTTAATGTCAACATGAAGCAGATTATTATTGTAGATCACACAGGGAGAACAAAAAGTAAAATATTTAACTGCAGCAGTGTTTGACTATATTCTGTACAGTGAGAAAACCTGAAGTCATTTTCAAGGTCCACCATTTCTTACTTCTTTTCAGTCAGGTCAAGTTTCTAAGCTTTCTAAATCTCTGTTTTCTGGCTAATGAAAAGAAAATAGGATTCCACCAAGTCTTCTATCTACCTACTCCAGGACTTCTGTGAGGATCAAATGAGATGAGGCACATAAAAACGCTTCACAGACATTTGGTTAAAGTGTACAATGTTTGCATCTGGCTATAAAGCAAGTCATGTTCCTGGGCTGAAGAAACTCCAAGGAGGCTAGTCACTAGGGAGAAGAAGCCGGTGTTGTTACGTGACATCATTACCCAGTGCCCTCAGCCACCATTTCTGGGCTTGGCTGGCTGTGAACTGCATTTTGTGCCATGGGGTCTCAGCAGCATTGGCTGCAATTTGGTGGAGTGTGACTCCGGGATGGTGGCGGGCCTGTGTCCCACATGGGGGAAGCTGAGTGTTGCTTTGTGGGCACCAGGTCCATGGTGCCTTTTCTCTGTAAATGGCCAGTGCATGTCACGGCAGCTCCTGCGTTGAGTGTCTGCCCCCTGGTGGTCAGTGTGCATCTTAGCGACCTGTCAGATGGTCGGACACTTAACATATTAGCCTTTTATATATATAGATTGTTGATTGAAGACTAGATGCTGTGACTATTCAAAGAACTATGCATTCAATCCTTGCTCATTAAGTTCAGCCAGAATTGGGAATGAGAGGAAATATCTATTTTGTTGAAATGCAGATTAATTATATTGAGAAAATTGTTTTATTTAAATAGTTGACATTTATCACCAATCTATTTTTAAAAACTTGGTAATGCTGAAACTTTATTGTTTTAAAGTTTAGCTTTAATAGATATATGACTACAAAATATGTATCTACATTTCAATTCCATTCATATAGTAATCCAGAATGTCTGTGTGCTTAAATTTGCACACTTGCAAATCAAAAGAAAGAGTTTGAATAGACAGATGTTTTATTTATCCAATAATTTATCATATTGATCTTGCACTGGTTATAGACAGGAGGTTAATTTTGTTAATATGCTTTCTAAAATGCTATGTTATGTTAGTTGTACTAATGGTGGTATAGAATGGATACAAAATAAAATTATGAATTTTGATTCTCCAATCTAGCATATTAACATCTTGGCAGCATAAAATTTTTTAAAATACACATTTCTATATACAAATACATGTAGGAATTTGGTTCCTCACTCTTAGAAAAGACTAATGCTAGATTTCCTTTCATACATAATATACAGTGTTATCTCATTCAAAGCAAAGTGAGAAAATTCAGGTTAAATTTTAAGGTACATTTAAAAAATAATAATATGGAAAGAATATTATCAAAATACACAATGCATAATCCCTCTCTTACACAATATAATTTGGATGAGACTTTCAATATAAGTGAATTTTGCAAATGAATGAAATTTACCCTTTTATTCATTAAAACCTTTCTCATTCTTATAACTCCAAATCTCACAGTATTATCTTATTCTCTGTATAATAAGTTTAAAGATATATCCATTTTATTGCAAAATTCTAGGGCTAGAAAGGAATTTAGATTTTATAAAAAATCTTCCAGTATAACTGCCTGATTTAACACATCAAGAATTTTAAACCCAAGTATATGAAATATCTTACTGAAAATCCTACAACTGGTCTTTAGTCCCTCAATTTTTACCAGTGGGGAATGGGTACACAAAGACTTTAACTTTTCAATGCTCTAAGCTTTTGTAGTATCTTTTTTAGTTTGTGAGGTAGACAATCACAAAACCAGTTCTGGAAGTGAAGATTTGGGAAGCATTAATGTGAATAGTATTTACTCCATTTTTATGATAACAATACACGTTTTCTCATGTGTGTTCAGTACTATCAACTATAGAAAGGTGTCCCTGGCCAGTTTTCTCAGTGGTTAGAGCATTCGCCTGTGCACTGAAGGTCACCAGTTTGATTCCTAGTCAAGGGCAAGAACCTCGGTTGCAGGTTCTATCCCTGGTCCCAGTTGGGGTATGTGCAGGAGGCAACCCATCAACGTGTCTCTCTCACATTGATATTTCTCTCCCTCTCTCTCTCTCTCCTCATCCCTCCTTTCCACTCATTGGCCTGTGCATTGAAGGTCACGGGTTTGATTCCTGATGTGTGAATTTATTTTTAAAGTTTTACTTTCATATTTTAGCCTTTTCTGGCCAGACCTTTTGTTCTACTGAAAAAAAGTTCATAAAATAACAAATTCTTATGTACTGAAAACCAATGTGAAGTTTCAGATCTTTTTATTTTAGTTTTTAAATCTTTACTTTTCCACACATATGCCTAAATCCAAGCTGCACTTTTGTATTGGAGTAAAATTAATAAAATAGCTTTACCCTCACTTTAAATATTTTATTTTTTATCAAATTAATTTTTATTTTAATCCTCACACAAGGGTATTTTTCCATTGATTTTTAGAGAGAATGGAAGACAGAGGGAAAGAGAAATATTGAGAGAAATTTGGTTTCCTCCTGCCTGCACCCCAACCAGGGCCCTGGCCGGGGAGAAGCCTGTGACCAAGGTAGGTGCCCTTGACCAGTATCAAACCTTTGGTCCACAGGTCAATGTTCTATCTATTGAGCCAAACCAGCTAGGGTTAATTAATTTTTATTTTATACTAGAGACCCAGTGCACAAATTCGTCCACAGGTGGGGGATCCCTCGGCCTTTCTGGCGATCCGGCCGATCGGGGCTGGCCGGCCCGGGGGAGACTGCGGGAAATTGGCTGTGGGAGTGCACTGACCACCAGGGGGCAGCTCCTGCTTTGAACGTCTTCCCCCTGGTGGCCAGTGCGCGTCATAGCGACCGGTCTACCAGTTGTTCAGTTGACCAGTCGTAACAGTCACTTAGGCTTTTATATACATAGATTTTTAGTTTCTTCTGGAATTAGGTAGTTTTTTTTTTAATGGTATAAGATTATTTTTATTATGAAATTAGTACAGTTTCAAATAGCAAATTTCTCAAAAAGTGCTTCTGTTTTTATTATAAGACTAATACATATTTAATCTAGGAAATTCAGAATGAAGAAGGAATGAAGACTATTAAACTACCCATCTTCTTGCTGTTTTGTGTGATTTTGTGAATCTTTTTTTCTAAGCCTACAATATGATCCCAGTATTCTCTCCCCTCAATACACAAGCACACAGGCACACAACATATAATGTCTGTATTTTGTGCCCTACTATTTTTAGTTAACATAGTACTTTTTGATGATTGATTTATTTCATAGTGATTTTTTTTTTCTACTGTGAGAAATTCCTTCTTTAGATGGAATATCTAAGAACCACTTGGGGAAAAACTTCATAGGGGACAACTTGCTGAGCAATATCATTTTATATTGACTTTTTCCATTCAATAAGATTAATTTTATTGTTATTTGGATTGTAAAGAGGTTACAGTTAGAGACTAAAATTAAATATTCCCTTTTAAGTCATAAAGCATAAAGACAACAAAACTATGTGTTTAGACAAAATCATACAGTAACTAATTTGCCTAGAAGTTATGATATATGTTCTTAGAAAACAAATACTTTTAAAATTCACAGATGCTGCAAAGTCCCAGTCAAATATAAATGACAATCAATTTTTATGTAACATTATAAATTCCAAAGAATTCATATTCACTCACTCATTCTCAATTTGTACCACCGAAATGCTTTTTCTTTCTGCTCACAGAATGTAAACCACATTTATTTCTATATCTGTGATATTTTTAAATAACTTATCCCAGATAACAAAATATGAACTACACTATGTTCAACTGCAATCCTCCAGAGAAAGCAAAACCTTATATTCCCTTTGAAGAGCCTCTAGCATGCTTGGTGAGAATTTTGAACTGGTTATAGAATTTGAATGTAACATCTATTTACTTCAAGAGTATAAGCTACCTTATAATTATCAGATCATTCAACACATTTAACAATGATATTTCACTTTTACTATAATAATTCATTTTTTCTCATTTGTGTTCAGTACTATCAAATGTAGAAAGAGCTTTTTACTCACCATTCTGGGAAAGATGAAATTTACCATTGTGCCATAAATTCCCTGGAAAGCAAAGAAAATATTATGCATTATAACCCCATTCACAGGGATCCTAACTGCCAAATGTAATGCATCAGAAACAAAACAAAAATGAAGTAAATCTATTGCAGAAAACACAAATTAGTGTTGTAAGAATTCTTGAGCCTGTATTATATGGCTTGGACAGAGCTACTTTAGGATTAAGCAATTGCTGTGATAAGTACTTTCAAAGTCAAGAATAAAACATTTTATTTTCCACAAAACAAATCTTATAGGCTCAAGAGAATATTGTCAACAGGTTTTGTGTGTGTGTGTGTGTGTGTGTGTGTGTGTGTGTGTGTGTGTTTTCCTTCTCCCCTTTGGCTCTGTAGAATTTTACATTTGATAGACATGGATCAACTGTATAGTGCCTAAAACTCGAAGGGAAAATTGAGGGACCGTTTACTTTCCTAAAGTCAACATAATGACCATTTTTATCATTTATATGTAAGTAAATTTCCTGTTTGGAATCTTGAACTAAAAATCTGGTGTAAAAGCTGAGAAACAAAATTAGGAATGCAAACTCCTCATTTTCCCCACTGAATAAGTGATGATAAAGAACCATCCACTTTCTTATGATTTTCTTTTTATTATAAACAGGGTTTTAATTGCATCACATGATAAAAATTAGAAAAAATTGTATTTTGAAATGGTATTTGTTATTGCTTTTTAAATTTTAAATTAACATTTACTTTCATGTTTTTATTAGTACAAAATAAGCTCAAAATCTCTAATATAAAGGAACATGTCAGAGTGTAAGAAAACATGCTTTTCTTATATCCTGATAATTAATGTTAGTAAGTGTTAGTCATTTTCTGTATGTTTTTAAGTATCCTAAACTTAATTTAGACAAAACATTCTGAATTCATCTCCTTCTGCCAAAATTAGATGATGGCTAAAGAAATTATAATAGGTAACATAAGCAGAAAAGGAATTTGCTTGAATTTTTGGATGATGATGTTTCAGATCTTTCAATATTACAAGTGAAGTATTTTGAATAAAAATTATAGTGTGTTATTGTAATTTGAAACCATTATTTCCAGGAAAGGTAATACTTCTGCAAATGACAACTGGCTAAAATTTCAAAGTATAAATATTATGTTCACAAATCTACTGACTTTTTGCTGGAGAATAAAATTATGATTTAAAGTGTATCTTAAGATTTTCACATAGGGAATATCTTATTTTTTAGATATTTTACTCTTTTAGAAACATTTGGATAGTAAATATGGAAGTGTGGAAGTTGTAATAATTTAGGAATTCTCCCCACAAATGCAGTTTCTTTTAAGGAAACTATTTTTCATAGTAAATAAAAATATTAACTTATTTTAAAATTTTTACTTATTGATTTTTAATGAAATATTTTTAATGGAAAAAGTTAAAACTTGGACATACTTTTTTGCATGTGGTTTTTATTCCTAAAGAATTATTAATACAATTTTTGATATTATAACTCATATTTATAATTTCTAAATGGATTAAATATTTATCAAAGTATTTTAAACACTAGCTCCTGAAGAGGGCAGCACGTTCTAGATATTACTGAATTCCAACCTCAAATATGACAGCTTTGGCTTTAGTACACTTTTTTAAGAACTAGAGGGAAAAATCGGATATTTTTTATAGATGTCTACTCCCATGATACAAATAATCCAGCAGAAAATTCTAGGCAGCTGCATCCAAGGTCAAAACTGTATTTGATTATTAAAGGAGAACATTCAAATTAGACACCTAAAGCAATGTATTAGAAAGGGTACAACAAAACTCTAGTAAATAGACTTTCCATGAGGACTGTGTTTTATCTTACTACTGTAGACAACTTTTCCTATTGGCAGTGCATTGACTTTCAGAACTATTAAAGGGGTTAGATTTAATTATCTTCTTGCACATTTCATTTCAATTGCTATGGCAACATTAGTTGCCTCAGCAGCAATGCACACTTTAATCAGATATTTCCTCCTCGTTTCGTTATGAGCCAAAACTGTAGTCAAATTTACAACCAAGTCCTGATGAATTTGATAACACTTCTTACAATTTATTGGGCAACTTGCCTCCACCCACACATACAAATATTTTCAGAGAGGCTTGTAGCTGTTGGGCAAGTATATGACTTGATAAGAATACAGTATGCATGTGGACTTTCTTACTTCATTTTTTTTCTTTTGCTAAATTTGCCACCTTTCCTCTATTAGAAGTTTTCTACCAATTCAAAATGCACTCCAATAAGTCACTACCATGGGTCACCTGACCTCAATAGGCATAGGCAAACCAACGAGTAAAGGAAACAACTTTTAATATTCAAATATCAACCCCTCAACAAGACTATTGAGTTATTTCCCTTTTATCTGAACATACTTTGGATTGATACATAGAAGAGGCTTTTTCTATTTCTTGAAAGTGAGTAAGAGAAAGAAGGATAATAACTGAAGACAGGGGGGAAAACCTGATTTAGGAGGACTACTATAGAGTATCAAACTTAAATGGAGGGCCAAGCATGAAAATCATTTGGTCAAGCCTCAATAATACAATTTTAATGAGAAGTAAAGGCATGATGCATTAAATTGTTGATATCACTTGGGTGAATATTAACCATCTGCATTGTTGGACAAATGATCACTTTAGCATTTTGCAAAAGACTAGAGAAACTTTAGTAGGCATATAAGAAACATTTTCTGTTTTTCAGTCTGATTTAAAGTGTTAGCAAATGATATTTTCATAAATGTTTGGAATTTTACAAATAGTAACTATATTTTAATTTGATCTTATGTAATAAATTTTAAACTATAATTAAGAAGCAGAGATCTAAGATCTTCCTAACAATTTTAGTGGCTGCTAAAATATGTATTTAGGCCGTAAACATTTTATTCTGAAGTTGTATAGTTCTCTGGTAAGAAATTGTACACCAGTGGCTGACAGTAATATTTTAGCATGTTTTTTCAATCAACATTTGGTAGTGTCTAATAAAATTTTCATTAATGTAGGCAGCCTAAAAGATGTTTTCTGTGGCTGGATCTGCAGAAAGTTACATCATATATATATATATATATACACACACACATATATATGTGTGTGTGTGTGTGTGTATCTATATCTATCTATATCTATGACTAAATAGAGCATTTAATCAAAATTTAACCAAATATAAATAAGATTATTTAAAATACAGGTCTTATGTATTTTTAAATTTTAATTGGGCCGAATATTAGCAGACTATGCTCAAAATGTGGTTATTAAAAGCTAATTTCTTGTTAATGATGAAGTTTGGAAGCCGTATAACTTTAGGAATATTCTTATGTAAAGGAGACCAGTGTTTTAGAAAACTGAGATGAATGGTAGAAATCCAGATAAGTGGATTTCTATATAAAGAAAAGTTTAAAATAATTCGAAGTTCTTAATGGCACAAGGTATGAAGCAGCAAGTTCCTTGTCTGGGCATATTCCATGAACTATTTGCATCTGAACTCTTTATTTCCTGCTGCTTGAATTCTGGGACAACATTATAGAAAACATAGTAGAACCACTCCTCAAATTTAGATCTGGGAGTTAAGATGAGTCACTTCTTTAATGAATTTTTCGAGTACCAGTATTTTATGTCGGTACGGAAACCTAGCCATGGTCGGCAAACAGCATATTCAGCAGCAAGTTTGCAAATCCTACTCTGGAGAAATGGTCTAAATGAGAAAACCAAACAGTTCTTAGTGAAGAGTTATCTAAAACCTCCAAGGGAACATGTAAATAGTTCCTAATTGGCATTCTTTCAAGAACTTCAGCAGATGCCAGGGAGTGACTAGAGGAGAAGAATGAGTTCCCCTTTCAGTCCTGACTTGGCTCTTCTACCGAAAGCTGGGTGCTGCACCACTGCGTCGGTCAGACTGGTTCTCTCGATGAAAGGAAGATTTTGGCACTATCTTCAAACTCTATATTCACTTAATAAATATTAATTGCTCAATTAAGGATCCAGAGTTTTTCTTCTGTACCCAGAGAAATTAAAAGTTGAAGAGAAAATTGCACATCATGTGGGAATGCTCATCTTCAGCGAGATTGCTGAGTAAGATAAAGGAAAGTGGTAACTGCCTGGCCTGTGTTGCTCAGTGGTTAGGTGTCGACCTATGAACCAGGAGGTCAAAGCTTGACTCCCAGTCAGGGCACATGCCCAGGTTGTGGGCTCAATCCCCGGTAGGGGACATGCAGGAGGCAACCAATCAATGATTCTCTCTCATCATTGATGTTTCTATCTCTCCCTCTCCCTTCCTCTCTGAAATCAATACAAAAACATGTATGTAAAAAAAAAGCAAAGTTGTAACCAATTTGAAGTATATATGAGGAAATTACTTATTATTCGGTCAAAGTAATGCACACTTTTTGTGTGACACCGGATCCTGTGTAGTTCTAGTCTACGTAAGTTGGAAATAGTCTTTTTACTTTGCTTGGTTTTGAAGTTTCCTGGTGTGATATCACTCACGAATCACATGGAAAGAACCAAGGGGCTCAAAAAAGATCTTGCATAATATCTAACCTTAATGTACTCAGTGCTGTCTGGATCATGAGACCTTTTGAAGAATGTCTGTCTACCAGAAACCTCTGGTTCTATCTAAAGAACTGATTACTGGTTTTGCAATAACAAGAAAAACTAACTTTTACTTTTACTTTCAAAGATGATAGAACGTTACAAACTTCATTAAGTGTTTTATCTCCCCTGCCCCTCTAGGTCAAACCTTTACATTAACTTATGTTTTAAATTCCACCTGCTGAGATTTTGCTGGCAAATGGTCTTGAAACTTGTTTCCAAAATGCTCACCCACAAAAGCTTTTACTAGCCAATCCCATTTGGTTGGCTGTGCTCCAACACAGTCTCTGGTGAGCACAAACATTAGCTACAGAAACTCCCATGGCACCCTGAAGGAACTTTTTGATCTAAACGACACTACTAGTAAACTGAAATGTCTTTGCAAATTCATGAACGTTTCCTTATGTCATGAATAGCAG